GAGGGTAAAGTGAACAAGTGTCATAATTTTTAGATTTACTCGATCGACGGTGATTGTGTCTAAATAAAGCTATCAACATACCCTATTCCTTGGCAGATACCTTCTGATTTCTAGACCAATTCTCGGTTCACTTGAACCCGGCACTGGGTAGGAAGGAAATACCTATGCTGATAACTCATTCAGCATACCAGAATTTGAGATAGCCTCAGCTTCACTTGCTCTTGAGCTATGCCATCAAGTGATTTGCTGCGCCTAAAGATTATGACACGATTTCTAAAATCGTTGCGACAACTGGTCGTTATAGGCACGTTTTCAACTGTCATCATGCCATCATTGGAAAGCGCTATGGGAACAAGTTGAGGCTAGACTCGATGACAAACTGGCGCACTTACATACAACGAACAGCATCCAGATGTGGGGCTAGCGAAGGTTTCAAGCATTACAGATTAGGACCTTCTTAGAACCGTTTCCCTTTGGTCCCTGTGAAAATTCGCTGACACACATGACATCTAGAGCGTTGCGCCGAGAGACTGACTCGTCACAGCAACGCAATAAGCAGTAAACCCCTTCGTGTGACTCCTCTTGTCTATACTTTTTGCGTAACATGTTTCGAGATTCACATGACCTTAACTTCGAGGAATTGATCAAATTGCATAGTTTTCTACTTATTTTACACTTTTTAACTGCGATTCTGAAGCGCAGTCACTGGATTTGTTGAAGACTTAGGAGTGGTAAACGTGCTTAGGAATCGAAATGTATTCAAAGAGAAAGTATAAGCTCATTTCCGGTGTTAACCATAAACGCATTCTTTCTTCGGCATTCCTCACGAGAAATAGGATCGATTGAATATTTTGTCGTTTACACTTAATTTCATCGTCTAAGCATGGTCAAATGACTGTATCCAGAGGAGGCATCGGATAAGTCCATTGATTAATGGGTGTCTTGGATACATCAGTCTCATCCATTTGATAAAAAAAGATTTTGAAGCTCAATTATTTGTATTTATTTGGTACGCATATATTTCATTTAGGGGGAAACTTTGCTATCAGACCTAAATTACCTTATGCTACCTAGGGGGACTAAGGAGAACTTATATATCATATAGATGTGTATATAAAAGATCTTATTATCATACTATAATAATGACAATAATATTTATTAATAGTAGTATTAGTTGGTATTATAGTAGGAAAGGTAGTATAGAGGTTATTATAGAGCAATCTACTCTTCTTGTTGTAGCTCTACATCACAGACGTACCAAGTTCCCTGAAGCATACACTTCTATAATCACAACAGACCCCACTGAAGAGGGTAGCTGGAAGAGGTTTGGTTAGGCTTGAAGGTTATGCCGGCACCTAGAACCCTTCTTCTCAAGTGTGTCGGACTTTTTCGCAGGGCAATTAGCCACAACATCCTCCTTCCTCGGTTCCCTATTTTGTACTTGAAGGACTCTCAAAAAGCTTGAAGTGAACTCCAACAAATCTCGCAACATGCACTTCTTTGTCTACGGCTTATTCTCAGGCTAACAGTCGGGCTATCTCACTCTATCTACCCTAGAGCATGATCACTCGTAGACGCAGGCAGTTTAGCACACCCGCTTTTTAGCAACAGCTGCATACCGACCGACTCGATCCAACAGCATTAACTTCAATAATCGGACGCATATTAAGCATGTTTCGAAACCATCAGTACAACCTGAACAAGAGCTTGTGACCACTTTCCGTTTATAAGTAGGGTTTTTAGATTACCAGTAAATCAATTATAAGAGATGTATTCACTCAATTTCGTTTAAAGTGATGAAGGACTGGTGGTAAAAGTTTCCCACAATGATACGAATAGAGCTGACGCTACTATTGACTTTCACATATCCTTGCTTTCCCCAAAGGCGGAAGGCAGTTCCTACCTCGCCTAGGTCTTATCAACACCCCAAGTAGAAGTCGAACCATGTCAGTGCAGCGTGTAACCTCAACACGTAAGCAACTATGCTGCATTGCCACAAGTGACCTTGGATCACAAGACAGATGTGAATTTCAAGGAAGGCCAGGCGCTTTCCTATATCACAATGTTTGGTGGGATTGTCGATGAAGCAGAGTTATATTTGCTATAACAATCGACTACATTACTTATTTTCCATTTATAAGTATGGCCTCGAGACTATTAGTAAATCAACGGTCACTTTTGATCGCTTAAGGAGAGTCAAGCTGAATTTCATTTTTCATATATACGTACAGTTACACCTCCACAACAAATGTGATTTGGGAAAGGTCAGAATCGTTTTAAGGTCATATTGGTCTTATGGTCCACTAGTGGCCATGAAGGTGTGGTGAAGTGGCAGGACCGTCTCTCGACATCCCCGACCCGGGTTGGAATCCCGGCGAGGCACTGAAGGGAGATGTGCGAGACCAAAACTACTGTCCGCCTTGGATTACAAGGCCTTTTGGGAGGTAATTCTATGTGGAATTCAATGAAATCGTGAGGTCTATTATCTTGCTTGGGTGCAATTTAACTACCAGTCCTCCATCAGTCCATAAGAAAGCCATGTCTCCAGTTTCCGGGTATCTCTAGGATCTGGGGCGGTCACGTTTGATTCTCCATTGAAACTATCTAGTTCTGAAGTGATCGCATTCACCTCCGCCTCGACAAATTTCTGGCTGTAAGAGGCTCTCAATCGAGCGTCGCATTAGGAGCCATATTTGGCCGAATCTGCTCGACATTTCACTTGTTCCCAATATTTTGCAAGCCTCTAACGCGGACATATCAAAGTATTCCCATATTCCAGTCTCATCAGCTTGAGAAAACACTGCTATTTCGAGGATGTATTCGAAGAAGGATAGATATTTACAGATTGTCCGGTTTTGAATCTCGCTTCGAGCTAGGCAAGGCCAAAGAAGAACTTTAGAGATGTTAGATTAATTGAAATCTAATGGCGAAATAAAGCCCATTTATATGGTTTTACACAAATTTAATCTACCCTAAGAGACCCTGCACGATCTCTTGAACTAGTTATACTTTGGGTCTAATGCATAGTCAGCTCAGTACCGATTGACCTATACTTGGTCAGCACAATTGCTAAAGCCCATTTTTATAAACGCCGACAACTTGAAATATGGATTCATATGCTTTGGCTGAAGCAACCATCCATGATGAGTCGAGACGAAGACTTGTATAGGCCTAGGTATCGCAACTTTTTTTGAAGGGAAATTATATCGGATCGAATGTTTCGATGGGGCAATAGACTGATCCATTAATCAGGATCTATAAATGTGAATTGTTTGGGCGATCCAAGATCCCACAGCAAAGTTGATTAAGGCGAAGTAAGAACGCTTCTTGTTTGCGACTTGGCAGAAATAGTTGAAAGAATATACAATTCTTGAGGTCACCAGCTCTGGTGGTGTGACGAGATAAGACGAGATGGAGAGATGGACTAACTCTGCTCCTTCATCTAAGGCATCACGAAGGAGAGTGATCATGTAGACTGGATCACAATCCTGTCCTAACCCCCTCCAACACGATCAGAACCTCGGGCGTAAGGATGGAGATGAAAATAGGCTAACCACAAAGCGGTACGACCGTGTTTTCTGAGTTTAAAGCCTTGCTTGGGTCCCCTGAAAGAGAGTCGAAATCGAATTACTATCGTAACTCATCGATGAGACCGAGAGCTATCGAGTCGCAGAACAATCGATTTCAACACATGGAAACAGAGGTGGGAAATAATGGCCTTTAACCTCATTTATGAATACTGGAAGCAATAAGTATATTCGCATGACCATGTATGCTTATATATATATATATATATATGTGTGTGCGTGTGTGTATGTATGTGTGTGTGTGACTATGCAGGCATGTATGTGTGCGTGAGAAAATGAAACTGCAGCATATGCGATAGTTTGAGGTGCTGCTGGTTAAGTAATCTAATTCATTCATTTGGGCGCTGAAAGAACAGAGGACATGGAAATGAAAGATGTTAGTTTGTCTCATGAATTGATGTACAATAGCCCTCTAAAATAAATTTATATATATATGTTATATGATATAGTGTAAACAGAGAATTCGTTCCCGATAACGAAGAAAGGAATGGGGGCATCTTGGGACAGATTTTTTACAGCTATTTAAGATTCATTGGTCGAAATAATAAGGAACGCCAAAGGTTCAGTCACGAGATCTTCTAGGCTGGCCTTCTGAAGGATGGGAAACTCGACTGAGCCGAAACATGGTTCACTGAGGGTTTAATGCTAATGCTCGTGCAACTTCGAGCTGGGAGACTGTCTGACTTGCAGATATGGCGGATAAGGAGGATGGGTTCTGGGGGCCAGCATGAGTTGAAAGAAGAGCAGAGGCAGAGGGACATTCAAGTAAGTCAAAATCAAAAAAATCCATCATGTCACGAAAGAAAGTCTGGTCGGATTAACACGAATAGAGGCCTCGGATACAAAAGATGTTGCAGATCAGAAGTGGCCGAAACCGGCTGTAGAGCGTTCTCCGCACTGGCTGCAAGATGGGCACGACGAGGCGAAGAAGCAGAACTTCCGGCTGACGCCGGCCTTTGGTACTGCATTGACGAGATCCGCGTGAAAAGTAGGAATAGTTGTTCGTACAGGTCCTCACGAATTGTTCTACCAGCGCCCGTCTCAAAGTCTGCAGGAGCCCTCGTGACCGAGGCTGTGGATGTGGAGGCGTGCCTCTTTCCAGCTAAAGCTCACAGCCAGATGGTAGACGCCTCTTTTGGCCGTGGCAAAGGTCAACATGAAATTTGCTCCTCTTTCTCGTTGCGAGACTAAGGAGTCCTCTCGTCCTCTCCGTGGATGCGTTCATGCTTGTCGTGGAGGTGGCGAAATGTGATACCAAGAGAAAAAATAGCGTTAAAACTGGTGTTAACATCTGGATTAGGATAAATGCGTCGGGCAAGGGCTGAGCAGTCAAAGGGTTCATAGCCAAAATGAAGCGGCCAGGAGATGGCAATGGGAAAAGAAGGCCCGGCGAAAACTTTGACAGAAAACTATTTGATTCCATACATCCATCCTCATGGTGGGGTGGCCTGCATCCGCATACCCACCCACCCAACTTCACACACACATACAAACACACACATACACAAGCATACAAACGTAGATAGGCATAAACTAATGGAGAAGCGCCCGTAGGACGGTAGTTCTCAGTCTTCTGCAGAAAAAAATGGCGGTGGGCATGACTTCTGGCCGCCATCAGGCAGCGATGCTTGCAGCCAGGACCAGGCGCTGCTGGAATCAGAAAAGGTACACCGCCCCGATGGGAATAAAGGGACGGAGAAGATGCGCTTGGCGGTGGAAATCTGAGTGCATTATCAAAAAATAGCATAGTTGGGATAGCCATAGGCGTCTGCGGTAATCTTTGTACAATGGACTTATGTAAGCTTGCAGGATTCAGGTTCGAGACGAGATCCAGCTCAAGTCGAGAGTAACCAACCGTCAGGACGTGTGAAGAAGGAGTCAAAAGGGGCTGGACAACAAGAGCATGGGCCAGTCGGACAGGGTTCTGTGGTGTTGTCATGCGGCAAGGCATAGACACCTGTGGATGTGCGAGTGGGCTTCGGTGAAATCTGGCAAGAAATATCAAGATGAAAAGTAAATGGGAGAAATCGCGAATATGAATAGCCATATGGAGCGAGTTTTTTACATGACTGGGTGAGTGGGGGGGTGGGGAGAGCAAGGGCTGACAAGTGGAATATGGAGCATAGAAGGGAAGGAAGAGGCGGTTTGGACACAAATTAAGAGGCGACAGGGATAGAGCCTGATGGGATAAGTTTACAAAGCGATGCCGTCGGACGGGCATTTCGAAAGAAGATGACTTGAATGGATCCTGGAAGTCAGCAGCAGACGAGTGGGTTCACATGTTTTCAGAGCTCCTGAGAATCCTCTCCAACTGCTTCAGGTCCTCGTCAGCCATTTTGTTGTTCAGGGTGCGTCGGACTGGAAGGCAAAAGGCAAAAGGAAGCTGGTGAAGGTGCGTGGATAACTAAGAGAACTGGTAGAAGATGAACTTCCGACTGAAGTGTAAAAACAGGTGTCATGACATAAACAAATAGTGTTGGTGATACAAGTGGACAGTGTTACACAAACGAAGGAACTGGGCGTTAGAACTAAGCAATTAAGCAACAAGAATTACTCTATTTACGAGATCGACTGTGGTATCCCATTTTATTCTGTTTTATTCTATGCTACTTTATTCAGTTGCATCGTATTCCCTTCTAATCTCTTCTACTTTATATTTGTTTTATTGCATTCTATTCTTCTGTATCATATGCTACTTTATTATATTTTATTCTACCCTATTCTATCCTATTTGATCCTATTCTATTCTACTCTAATGTGTTCTGCCTTAAACTACTTCATTTCATTCTATTTTATCCTATTCTATTCGATCCCATTCTATCCTATTATATTATATTTTATTGTATTGTACTATTTTTTATTCTAAATTGTGGAACAACTCGTTTGCACTTCGAGAGTCACGCACTAAACTCAGTAGGCCGAGGTAGTCTAAATCCCCAAAAAGCCTTGTGCCTGGTCTAAAGTTAACTTTGACAGAGGCCATCATTCATGACCTGGAACTGACATGTTTGGTTGCACTGCCATTTTATTTATGATCATTGAAACTGATGAAATGCGCTATTAGGAAATAGGTCACATAGTTTGACCTCAAGAAGTCTGAGAGTAAATGCCAAAAATGAGGCCAACCGAATGGTGGATGCCTGATTTACTCAGCTCAAGTCCGGCCAAGGGATTAATTTAGTCATCTGAACGGAAATAAATTGTCAAATGTAGAAAACGGATCCAGTCCTCTTGAAACTTGCCAATAAAACACGAAAAAATACTTTGGCTGGAGTGATTTCCAGAAACAAAGACTGCCCTTGTGCAAAAAAGGCAACAAATGACGCCTACTCTCCTGTGCATTCGTGTGAAACGTGAACAAACAATGGGAAACGCCAGTTCCAAATGAGTAGAAGATCACACCTAGGCATATATTATACATACACATAAACACATAAAAGCAGTCGATTCCTTCCTCCGCTTCCCCAGTAGGCAACATCAGGTCTGTATGCGCGATGCTCCCTTACTACTTTCAGTTGGCCTTCCACAGTTCCCATGCTGCAAATTTGGCTTAACTCAATTGGATCACTTGTTTCGATAATCAAACCACTCACGCACAATCACACCCACACATACAAATACACACCCATATATATATATATATATATATATATATATATGCATGTGTATTTTGTGAAGGCGTTAAGTAGGAACAAGCTTAAGTCGGAAATCGAAGATGATTAGGGCTGACCGTATCATAGCCCATTCTACTTGTTGTGCCGAGTAGAGTGAACAAAACTGTAAGATCAAAATTCTTATGCGAATTTACATGCCAGGTTGCAAGGTGCTGATCATGAAAAAATTCACCTGTGCATGTTTCTGTTTCACCACACTCTGGCAAATAAATAGAATGACAAAACAAACTTAATGAAGGTGGAAGTTATATGAAAATACAGTTGACTCAGAGCTTTTAGACAATACCGGAAGCGACCAAATTAATGCCCTTGACCTTGTTGGCTTGCCTAAAGCAGGCGCTGGCCTGACACGGATCTTTACCCACGCAAAGCCGACTGAGCAGTCACTTTTAGCAAGATAAAATTAGGCAATTAAAATTAGGCAAAGAAAAAGGCGAAAGTGATATCCGTATGGGATGAAAGATGCAAGGAAAGGGATTCTGTGAGACTGTAAGAGACATTAGGAAAATTAAAAAAATAAACAAGTAAAACACGATTTAGGGGATAAAAAACGAGTGCTTGCTCAAAAATAATTTTAGCCAGATTTCTATGCATCACACCAGCGGGTATACTTCACGTAGCAGACGCCCGCATTTATAGCGCACAGAGGTTATGGCCAGAGAGAAGAGTTAATTTAAGATAGAGACAGAAACCAATATGTACGAAAATGGAATTGAAATACTTTAAGTACTACGGGCAAAGGCTGATGAAATATCGTGATTGTATGGCCATATTTTACAACATACCAGTGTCTTGAAACAAACCTATCTCAGGCGTCATCTTGCAAACTAACTAAGCTATCTGATGACACAAATACACGTATATACACGCACAAATAAGCAAAAACCCGTAGCAAATGTTATTCAGCAGCCAGATGGTTTTACACAGAAATCGCCAGGGTTGGAACAAAAAAAGACTTTAAGAACGCGCTAAAGTAAGCATTATGTACGATGATATACACATAGATTGATTTTAGGCAATACAAATCCATGCATTATGAATTAGAGGTGATATGCTCTGAAACGAGGCGACACATGCTATCGTATACTATGGCTCAACATGGCATAGAAATTGGTTGAAAGATACACCATTTGAGCCGAAGGATGCTAAATAGAAAGGCCCAAATAGGCATCAGACTTATCAGGTAGTTAACACATAGCCTCTTGTTCACAAACCGGGCTCAAGTCGTTGATGGGTGAGATGATTTTTAGTTTGAAAAACATTAAATCTAATTAAAACTCAGATTGACTACAAGCAAATGGTTCTGAGCCTGAATGAAGTGGAGCCAACACTATCAAATACTTTAAGCTTTTGTGAAATCGGTTGTCATCAGCAGAAATGACTTCTCCGTCAACTTTAGGGGAAATCTACTCAAGTTTCTTCTGCATTCCGAAAGACTGTCAATCAGCATATTGTTGCAAAAGACCCAATCTTTTCGTGACAAGTCAAGGTCCGAAGGTGCTTTAAATAACCATATACATTCTCTAAATCGATTAAATTATAGTGAACCGTGATGATTGTAAAGTATGGTCTAAATAGGGCGAAAAGCATATCGGGGCGCCAATTATAAAAAGAATTAGACAAATCATGGGTAGAAGAACGACCCCTCCTGAACAGCTTCTTTGTGTCATTGTACATGCCTAATGAACTCGTGAGAGGATGAACGAAATCATATGCATTCATGATTAGGGAATGGCACAAAATCGGCCTCTGATAGCCCCCAATGCCGAGTAGGAAATATAATTGACGTCAATTGGCTACACTCTGAGCTCCAGCAACCAGAAATTTCTGGCCCGAGCAAGTGATGGTTTTGACATGTAAAAGTCTTTTGCCGCCGTTTAACCGAGAAGATAGGGTACTTAATTATGGCAAAAAGTAAATGTTTTTAAGGGGATCATCTCTGCGAATCACGAACCTTAAAATGATGGTAATGTTAATGCAAGTCCAGATAGATGTAGGTGAATATAAAAGCGTTAGAAAATGCTGC